TCTAGAAACAGCGCTCCAAGCCGTGCTCCTCCTCCACCTCCCCTTCATTCCCAGACCTCCGACGCCTGGAATGTTTCGAATCGCCCGCCCCTTGAGCTCTGGACCCCTTCCCCGCGACCTACTTTCAAGCCTGAGTCGTGTTCTGGAGATCCCAGGTCCAAGACTGTGCCCACGCGCACCGAGCATGAAGAAAAGCAGAACCAAAACTCCAGCGCGATCTGTTCGAGCCACCAGAGGCATGGGCCCCCCCCCATCCCCACCCGACACCTTGGCGATGGCGCCTATGTTGGCCGTGTACTCCGCCTCGAGGGACGCGAAGTCTGCGGCCTGCTTCTCGCGGACGGCGGTGGCCTGCCCCCCGCGGGGCGGCGGGCCCCGACGCTGGCCCGACGGGACCCGAGAAAGCTCGAGCTGCGAATGCGAGGTGTCGCCTCCGCCCCCGCTTGGTGGTCGGCGGGCCGTCCTGATCGGGGAGAGGTGAGGCTAGAGGAAGATCGCTCTAAATAGCCCCTGGAGGAAGGCCGTGTGAACATCTGGCTGGGTCCTTCCCTAGCTCTCCCTTGGGAAGAAGCCCCCTCTACGAACCCCCCCGACCTGAGGACCAGGAAGGGGGGCAGGATCAATCACGCGGAACTCCGCAGGCCAGGAACTCCACCGCCGTGCCGCGGGCGATGAGTGGAGTGTCCCCAGGTCCATCGGAATCCCCGTGAATACTGCGGATACTCCCCCAAAGCCCCCGACTCCACATCGGAAGCGGCTGTACCTTTTGACTGTCTTAATTGGAACTGGCGGGTTCGCGTGCCTGCGCCTGGACACCCCTGCGGTACCGACTATGTGCTGTCCAGAGGCTGCCCTTCGACGCGGACCGATCGAGCCGAAATACGTCCGCGGAAGAAAGGGGTGGGTCGGATTGACCGTAAAAAAAGGGTCCCGATGAGCGCAAAGTATGTTGGGAGGCCAGTGACAAAGAACCACTGATACTCCTCATCAGATGGTATTTCTCCTCTTCCCCCTTCTTCCTCCTCCACTTCCTCCTCCTCCTCCTTCTCCTCATCATCCTCCTCATGTTCCTCATCCTCCTCCTCCTCCTCCTCCTCCTCCTCCTCCTCCTCCTCCTCCTCCTCCTCCTCCGTTTCCTCCGCGTCCTCCTCTTCCCCATCCTCCTCCTCCTCCTCCTCCTCCTCCTCCTCCTCCTCCTCCTCCTCCTCCTCCTCCTCCTCCTCCTCTCCTCCCTCCTCCTCATTCTCCTCCTCCTCCTCCTCCTCCTCCTCCTCCTCCTCCTCCTCCTCCTCCTACTCTTCATCCTCCACATCTCTCCTCCCTCTCTGCCTCGTCCTGTTGCTCCTTGGTACGCTATCCTTCTTATGTGCATCCTCCCTCTTCAGCCCTCATCGTCTGCCCCTCCCTCTTTTCTTGCCCACAACCTGGCGTGAACACTGAAACTGGGGATCCCAGGGCGCCACCATGTCGTGATAAAAACTCGCGTCCGAAAATTCGAGGAGGGGCGTAGGGTAGCAGAACCGTTTGAGCTCCATGCTGGCCCAAAAATCAATCAAGGGTGAGCCATTACCCCCAGGCAGACTCTGAGGATGGCAGAAGCAGAGGAGGCGAGGGAGGAGGAGGAGGAGGAGGAGGAGGAGGAGCAGCAGCAGCAGCACCACCACCACAACCACCCAAAGCGAGGAACAACAGGAGGGCGGAATGATTAGTAGAGAAGGAGAGAGAAAGTGGAGCGAACGGTCTCAAGGACTTGGGGCCTCGGCCATCGCGTCCTTGGCGTCGGCGCGGTCAGTCTTGGCCTGCGGTGGCGGCGCGAGCTACCCCTCTGATGAGCCTGGCCAACCTCCTCCGCCTACCCCTCCTCCGCCTCCCCGTCCCCCACCAGTATCATCCTCCTCATGTTGACATTGTCGCTCCCCCTCCTCCTCCAACTCCTCCTCCTCCTCATCCTCCTCCTCCTCCTCCTCCTCCTCCTCCCCCTCCTCCTCCTCCTCCTCTTCTTCCTCCTCCTCCTCCTCCTCCTCCTCCTCCTCCTCCTCCTCCTCCTCCGTTTCCTCCTCCGTTCCTCATCCAGATAAATAACTCTTCCCTGTCGCACCCCGAAGCCAGTCGGAACGGCGACAGGGGTGGTTCGCCTGAGATTTCCTTACAAGTTATGATCCTGAGGCCGAACACTTGGCAACAGCTTCACACATGGAGGGCAGGTGGGTTTCAAGATGTGGGTTTTGCCTCAGGGCCACGCACATTCGTCTTCAGTCTCTGTAAAAACTCCACGAATTGCGGGTGGGTTGTTTTCGAAATGTGGTTCTCGCCTCAACGCCGCGCACACTCGCCTAAAAATCTGCAATGGCTTCACGAATTGAGGGCGGCTCCTCTTCAAAATGTGAAGTTCGCCCCGGCGCCGCGCACTTTCGTTTTTGACATGCAAGAACTTCACATATTGAGAGCGGCTCCGTTTCAAAATGTGGTTCTCGCCTTAGCGCCGCGCAGACTCGTCTTAATCAAGTGCAAAGATTTCGCGACTTCTCCTGGTTAACGTACTTGAAACGGCGTTGTGAAGCGAGTCGGGATTATCAGGGCGCAACAGTTGCATTGATAGGCTACCGCCACTAGCGCTGTCGCCGTCACCCGAGTCGGTGCCCTGACGAGGGGAGGCGGTGTCAGTAGCAAAGCGGAAACGCACCCAGTCCAGCAAGGCATGAGGGTGAAAATCCGGCTTGTCTGGCTGATGATCTGGGGGGGTCTGTGCTCAGGAGAGGCTGCAGCACCGCTCAACGATGTGCTATCAACCAAACCTGCAGGGTGGGCCCTTTCCATGTACACGTGCACTTCAATTTTGACCTCGGCACCAGCTGTGGGTATGTACACCGTGAATTACCTTTGGGCCAGCTCACCCGAGTCGGTAGTCCGCTCACGTGGGTGCCTCTCTCCCTACCTTCTCCCCTCCTCCTTCTCCTCCCCGAGGTGATTGCACACGTTCGCAATGCTTTTGAACCTGCTTGGGCCTCCAAAGGCCTTCGGGTGCCTCCAAGGAGCTTCTCAGACAGAGCGCACACCCGACATCCGAACGCCGAAGTGGGGTCTGAGGCAAGCCAGGCATCAGCCAAACGCGAAGCACGCCAGCTGGACGTCACCCGTCCCCCTCGGCCTCCTTGGCGGCGTCATCGCTCTGCACCTTCGCCTCCGACCCTGCCTTGAGCTGGGTCTCGAGCATGGGGATCTTGTCCTGAGAGGGCCCAAAGAGGAGAATCATCGCTCTTCCTCACAGCAAGCTGGCGAGCTCTATTTCTTCTTCCTCCTCCCCCGAGCATGCCCCTCTCCCTCCTCCCCCCACAGCCCTCATCATCACCACCGTCCTCATCCTCCAGCTCCGTCGCCACTCTGGCTCCAGCTGACCCGAACTCGCGGCCCGAACCTGGGCGGGAGGCGCACCACACGAGCGCGAGAGAGCGACGGAGGGCGCCGCCGGCGGCGGGCGCCCAGAAAGCGATGGGCTCGCGTCGGAAATGGCAGGCGCGGGCCAGGGACGCGGCGACAAAACCGACGCGGCGGATCTGCGTGGTGAGGCTCTTGGTCCTGCTTGGTGAGGCCGGTGAGGCGCGCCACAAGCATACCCGGACGCGGCGGATGCGTTTGTGGGGCGCCTCCCTGGCCTCACCAAGCAGGACTAAATTAGGGGCTCCACGCGGGACGGGACGCTTTTTCTGCAGGCGCTCGACGAGATCGCCGACTGCGAGGCCCTCGGAGACCGCCTGGCGACGTGCGCCCCTGCGCTCGCCGCCCTGCTGCCAGGCCAGCGCCCGACTGCGCTGCAGCGTCTGCGGCGCAACGTTGCGCTGCACGCGGCCCTGGACCCCAAGGACCGCAGCAGAACCCCTGCGTGCACCGTCTGGCATGCACAGAACGAGATGGGCCTGTTTCCCACCACCACCACCACAACTTGGAGGGGGAGGGGGAGGGGGAGGGGGTCCTCCTCCTCCTCCTCCTCCTCCTCCTCCTCCTCTCCTCCTCCTCCTCCTCCTCCCTGATCCTCCTCCTCCTCCTCCTCCTCCTCCTCCTCCTCCTCCACCTTCCCCGATCCAACTTATGATGGTGGAAAACAGGCCCATGGGATATTTATGCACACGCAGAGTTTTGACATATGGAAGGTGGTCCAGCGGCCAGCCAAGCGGACGGCCGACGCGCAGCGTGCCGACATCGTCGAAGACACCCTCGAGCTGAACATGCTCACCATGTATGGTGACACGGTGCCTGTTGCAACCAGACGCGATGTGACTTCATGTGCCAGCCTGGCAGAGCTGACCACGGCACATCACTGCCTCTGCCGAGGGTGCAGCTCGACAAGAGAGCTTTTCTCAGATGCGCGACGACGCCCGCTGCTGGGGCCGCTCCCCACCCCCCCAGGCCCACGCGGCAGCGTCACCGCTCGCGCCTCCAGAGGTATGCTGCTCCCATCGTGCTCTGTGGGAAAAAACACACTGTGGGAAAAAACACACACACACACACACACTGTGGGAAAAACACACACACACACTGTGGGAGAAAAAAACACTGTGGGGGGGGGGGGGGGGAAAAAAAAACACTGTGGGAACAAAAAAAAAACACACACACGTGGGAAAAGCACACACTGTGGGAAAAACACACACAAAAAAAAACGGACCACGTCCCAGAAATGATTTCGAGCACCCAGAGAGGTATCGAAACAGTGTCTCCCCGACACGCTGGCAAAGTGGCGGACGAGCATCGCCTTCCAGGGCCCGACATGCAAAGACCCTCCAGATTCGATACGATACTTCCTTGGTGTTCGAAACTCATCATGGCGATCAAAATAAAAGAAGTTGGAACATCAGAACTCCAGAGGTCTCCGGAGAGACCTGAGAGACCTCGGGGACCTCCAGACACCTCCTGAGACCCTCGGGGACCTCAGTGATCCTCCAGAGACCTCCAGGGACCTCCAGAGACGAAGGCCTCTGGAGGCCTCTAGACGACGTCGGTCCGCCTCGTAGTCGCCCCTGGCCATTCCAGAACGCCGCGGGAGCAAGTCGTGATGTTACTGGGCGTTCCCCCCCCCCCTGGGACAAGGGCCTGATTCGGCTTCAGGCCCGTTTCGGCTTCGGTGCGTTTCGGCTTCGGTCGGTTTCGGCTTCGGTCCGTTTCGGCTTCAGGCCGTTTCGGCTTCAGCCAGATTCGGCTTCGGCCCGTTTCGGTTTCCTGGCCCTGGGTGCAAGCGCGAACCTGAAAGCCGAAACGGGCCGAAACCGAAACGGGCCAGAGCCAAAACAGGCAAGAACGAAACGGGCTGGAGCCGAAACGGGCTGGGGCGAAACGGGCCAAAGCCGAAATGGGCCGGGACGAAACACGCCGAAGCCGAAACGAGCGGATGAAGCCGAATCTGGCTGGAGCCGAAACAGAATTCGGGGCCCGCTCCGACTCTGGCCCCTCGGAGGAAGCCGAAGCGGGCTCGGGAGCTTGCGGAGGAGGAGGTGGCCCTATCCATGACCCTCATCCTGGCTCCCAATCATTGTAAACAAACCTAAACTGGCGTCTGCGGAAGAGGTGAACGAAAGAGGAGAAGGAGGGCGCGGGACATCACTTCGCGGAAAAATATTGAAAAATTGTCTGCAATCTCTGTGGGTGCACCGGGGAAGTCGATTTGTCCGCCCCACACCGACAAGCTCTTCAAAGATTTTTCTGCTACCTCTGTGAGTTCACTGGGGGGCACGATTTGTCCACCCTCGGAGCGCCAGATTGTTCAATATATTCCGACACCAGTGTGAGTGCACCAGGGGTCACGATTTGTCCGTCCCCGTCGGCGCAAGAACTCTCAAAATACTTCCCAACCATGCTGTGGTGTTGGGTCCTCGTTTTGAATCCGCAACGCCTCGCGTCCTCCCAAGTGCCACCTTCCCCCTCCTCCTCCCCCACCTCTCCCCCTCCTTCGGCACACCCCTCAAACGCTTCGTGGCCCCATGGGGGGCCCAAACTAAGACTCAAATACTAAAGTTCACATGAGCTCCCGCCTTTGATTTCGGCGCAGCCCTCGCACGCTTCGTGGCCCCAAAGGGAGCCCCAAGTAAGGTCCACATGCCAAATTTCACATGAGCTCGCACGTCTCATTTCAGCACACCCATCGACGCTTAGTGGCCCCATAGAGAGAGAGCCCCATCGAAGGCCCAAATGCCAAAGCTCACATGATCTCCCGCCACTGATGTCGGCACATCCCTCACGGGCTTCGTGGCCCCATAGGGAGCCCCAACCAAGACCGTAAATGCCAGCATTCACACGAACTCCCGCCTCCCACTCGCACGTTTCGATGCCCCAGACGGAGCCCCAACTAACGCCCAAATGCCACAGGAGTTCCCGCCACTCATTCTGGCACAACCCTCGCACGTTTCGTGGCCCCATGGGGAGCCCCAACTGCCAAAATTCACACGAGCTCCTGCCGCTCATTTCGGCACACCCCTCGCACGCTTCGTGGCCCAATAGGGAGCACCAACTAAGCCCAATGCCAAAGTTCACATGAGTTCCCGTCACTCATGTCGGCACACCCCTCGAACGCTTCGTGGCACCAAGAAAAGCTCCAACCAAGGCCCACATGCCAAAGTTCACATGAAAACCCGCCTCTCATTTCGGCACACCCATCGCACGCTGAGTGGCCCCATAGAGAGCCCCATCGAAGGCCCAAATGCCACAATTCACATGAACTCCCGCCTCCCATTTTGGCACACCCCTCGCACGCCTCATGGCCCCGTAAAGCCACAGGGGGCCCCAACTGGGGCCCAAACCCGAAAGTTCACGTGAGCTCCCACCACCCATTCCGGCACGCCCCTCCCAAATCGGAGCCGATGTCGAAGTACATCTTCCAGCAGTCAGCGCACGCGGCGATCACGATGCGCCCACGAGCGGCCAAGGAGGAACACCAGGCGAAACCCCGACAAATACACACACCCACACACACACACACACACACACACTCACGCACACTCACGCACACGCCGAGCGCACGGGGCGCCCGCAGGCTGCCCACGGGCGGGCGTCAAAATGGAGTTCGACCCCCCCCCCCATCGCACAAGGCCCCCACGAGGCGCCCGCGAGCTGGCACCAGGCAGCACTTGCGCACACCCCCTCCCAGAGCACGCTGCCCCCACGGGCAGGCACCAGGTGAAGCCTCGGCATCCACACGCAGGGCACGTCGGCGCTCACGGGCGGACTGCCCGGCAAATCCTCCTCCCGCCCGCCCAACACTTGGCGCCCGCGAAGCGCCCACGAAGCGCCCACCAGCTGGGCACCAGCCGAAAAACCTGCACACCCCTCCAGCAGCACCAGCAAGAACCAATAATAAGTGCAAGCACTGCTTGGGGCAAAAATTAGCCTGGCGAAGGACCTAACCATATGCAGCTGCGAGTAATGCAGGGTGCGACCTTTTCCTCACCGGTAGCGCGCCGCGACGATGATGGCGCGGGGGGCGGTGCAAATGGCGGCTACGAAACGCGTGAGGGGTGCGCCAAGGTGGCGAGGGGACTGCATGCGGGCGCTGCCACTGGGGCATTCCGATGGGACCTCGGAACGTGCGATGTGCTCCCTATGGGGCCACGAAACGTGTGAGGCGCGCGCCAAGATGGGGGTGGAACTGCATGCGGGCGCTGCCACTGTGGCCTTCGGTGGAGTTCCCTGTAGGGTCACGAAACATGTGAGGGATGCGCCAAGATAGGGGTGGAACTGCATGCGGGCGCTGCCACTGGGGCCTTCGGTGGAGCTACCTATGGGGCCACGAAATGTGCGAGGGGTGCGCCAAGTTGGGGGTGGAACTGCATGCAGGCGCTGCCACTGGGGCCTTCGGTGGAGCTCCGTGAGGCCACGAAACGTGTGAGGGGTGTGCCAAGGTAGGGGTGGAACTGCATGCGGGCGCTGCCACTGGAGCCTTCGGTGGAGCTCCCTGTGGGGCAGCGAAACGTGTGAGGGGTGCGCCAAGATGGGAGTGGAAATGCATGCGGGCGTACCTTGGGGTCTTCGGTGGAGCCCCCTCTGGGGGCACGAGACGTGCGAGGGGTGCGCCAAGATGGGGGTGGAACTGCATGCGGGCGCTGCCAGTGGGGCCTTCGGTGGAGCTCCCTACGGGGGCACGAAAAGTGTGAGGGGTGCGCCAAGATAGGAGTGGAACTGCATGCGGTTGCTGCCACTGGGGCCTTCGGTGGAGCTCCCTATGGGGCCTCGAAACGTGCGAGGGGTGCGCCAAGACGCGGGTGGAACTGCGTGCGGGCGCTGCCACTGGGGCCTTCGGTGGAGCTCCCTACAGGCCTCGGGAAAAAAAAGCGGACACTCATACCACAGTCATCTGTGAACGCCTCCCCCTCCCCCCAATGTTCAAAGTTGGCGGTGGGTCTGATGAGTTGCACCTCGACCCCAGTCTCTCCCGCGCGTGCCAACTTTGAGTTTGGGGAGCAGGGGGGGTGTTCACTAATAGTTTCCCTCTACCGTATGGGGCCACGAAACGTGTGAGGGGTGAACCGAAATGGTGGACATGCGGAGGGCAGAGTCAGGGTTGGGATGATAAGAGGAGGAGGGAGGGGGCAGCGGGAGTGAACGCGGAGCGCTGTCTCTTCAAAACGAGGACCCAACACCACAGGATGGTTGGGAAAAATTTAAGAACAACAGGGTTCCACGATTGCATTACCACATGAAATGGAAAGACACACGCACGTTTGAAATGAGACTGCTTGGACATCCCCCGGCCATCCGTGACCAATCCGTCAGGCAAGGAGATGCGCGCCAGGCTGGCAGCGGGATGATCTCCACACGCGAGCCGGCACGCTTGAAATAAGCTTCCTGGCAACATCCTTGGCAGTGGGACCATGTCTCCAGTTCCCGAAACCCCGAGCTCCAAAACTCCTGAAACTCCAAACTCCACCGCGACATCCTGAACCTCTTGAACCTCCAAGCTCCAAAACTTCTGGAACACCTGACATCCTTGGCATCCCGAAAGTCCAAACTCAACAATGTCAGCAGGCATGGTCGAAGTGGGCTTCCTGCCGGCAGCGTTGGTAATTCAGTGCGCGTTGCCTGCGAGCTGGCACGCTTGGCGTGGTGCACGTCCTGGCCACAACGCCTGACAGAGTGAAGTGCCCCGCAAACAAGTGACGAAATTCGTGGGAGGGGCTACGAAATAACACGGGAAGCGAGAGCGATGGGCCCTGCAGCAGGGCTGGACCTAAACGGTGATTTCCGTTTTGTTATCGCTTTGTGATTTGTGTTTCGTTTCGCTCTCCCTGTTTTCCTGTACCTCCCTGCCAAAACGAAAAACAAAACACAGCCGAAGTCCAGGTCCAGCCCTGCCCTGCAGCGGGAGGCTTGATGAAAAGAAAAACGCTCGCACTGCTGCGTGCTGGAAGCTGGCCCGCACGCTCGGGCTGAGCTGCCGAGAGCGCTGGCACCACCGCGAGCATTAGGATGATCGTCGAACGCAACCTGGCACGCGTGGAAAGAATGCCTCGGCAACATCCTTGCAGGCATCGCCGTCGCAACGAAGTGCGCCGCGCGGGAGCCCGCACGTCCGAACAACCCCAAATCCTGCTTACCTCCCTCTTCCCTCTTCACAAGATCCGTCGTTCGTCTCATGCCTTTGCGGGCTCGTGGTCCCCGAACCCGTGGCTATAGGCAAGATAGCTGCTCCGCATGGCTTCCAGGATCCGAAGGAAGCGGTGCTCTGGTGCCACTCGGAACTCACTAAGGAGATCAACCTTCTGCAGACCCACGGCGACCTGGAACTCCCCCTCACCTCACCTTGCATAAGTTCCTGCTCCTCCTCCTCCTCCTCCTCCTCCTCCTCCTCCTCCTCCTCCTCCTCCTCCTCCTCCTCCTCCTCCTCCTCTTCCTCCTCCTCCACCTCCACTTCTTCCTTCTCCCCCTCCTCCTCCTCCTCCTCCGCCTCTCGTTCCGCCTTCTCCTCCTCGTCCTCCCCTGCCGCATCAGTTTGCCTCAGGGGTGAGGGGCAGGGGCGGGGAGAGAGAACAAGTAAAAGAAAGCGGAGAGGGCGGTGGAGGAGCGAAAAGAACGGAGACCCTGGACGGGAAGGGGGCAAGGATCGAATTTCATTACGGCCAATGTCTACCCAAACAAGCCATGGGCCATCCCCCTTGATATGACGAGGGCGGGGGCATGTGGGGCTCCCTCGAGGAAGCGGTCCTGGAGGAAGTGGCGACCGCCCCAGTCGTGACCCGCTTTGGCATCGCCCCCAATTGGCACCAACACCAGCACGGGAGAGTAATGAACCAGGGCTCCCATGCACTCGCTCGTCAGTTTCATAACACTAGTGGCCGAGAGCGCGCCACAACGAATGCAAAACAACATCGGCCGACAGCAGAACCTACCCAAGCCATCCCGGAACGAAACCGAAACGAACAAGAGCCGAAACTTGCCAGAGCCGAAACAGGCTGGAGCCGAAACCGGCCGGATCCGAAACGGGATCCTCCTCCTCCTCCTCCTCCTCCTCCTCCGACTCCGACTCCGACTCCGACTCCGACTCCGACTCCGACTCCGATTCCGACTCCGACTCCTCTTCCTGCTGCTCCGGAACAGCGTCTGATCCCGACAATTTCTTTGCTGCCCAGGGCCCACAACTTGCCCCAAGAGCGCGAAAGTTGTGGAAAAGAGCGTCGCGAAGCACCCGAGTCGACAAATCACCCCAGCAAAGCGCCCTAGTAGCAGCAAAGGCCGGGACAGGGGTGAGAGCATGGCGAGGCGCACCGTAGTGCACTTTTGTTTCACAGGATCGTGGCCGCCCGGACCAAGAACGCAGCCGGCATTGGGGCGAGAGCGCGAGTGCCAGAGCACGAGTGCCGAATAAGGTCCGCGGGAGTCTCGAGCGCAGCGGCTGCCAAGCCGGGCGGTCTCGGGCTCCCCGCCCCGCCTGTGGGGCTCCCCCGTGGTCCCCCGTGGTCCCCGCCCCGCCTGTGGGGCCCTCTGGCGAAAATCGGGGATGCACAGAACCCCCCTTCAGTAAAACGTGGCTTAGTGAAAACGACCTCGGACCCAAGCCTGGCGGGCGCAGGCATGGAAAATGACGGCCGCGGCGCCTTCTCGAGAACCGAAAACGGACAATTCACTAATCGAGGAGGCAGGATGTGTCAGGGTGGGGGTTCTGTCCACCCCCGAGAAAAACTATTAGGGAGTGGTGACGGTGTCAAGGATTGGAGCGTTTCCACAGGGCTGAACCTGAGCGGTGTTTGTCGTTCTCGTTCTGGTTTTCGTTTTTCCTCGTTTTGCCTTCGCTTCGCCTTGCATGCAAAGCAAACAAAAAAAACGGCCCACGAGATGGCCAAAATACCGTTTAGATCCAGCCCTGCTTCCCCCTCCACCCGCGTGGGGGCGGTCCCCACGTGGCTGTGCGATCTTGGGGGGGAGCCCTCCCCTGGCGCCGACGCCGGGCTCTTCGAAGAGGCACCCCCCGCGGGAGCCGACAAGGTGAAACGCAACGCCTTACGCAAGGTGGCGTGTCGACCTCCGGCGGCGGCTTGCGCGGGCCACCAACGCGACGCGCCACGGCGGAAACGACGGCCCCTACGCGCGACATTACGCGGTCAGCTCATGCGCCAGTGTGGGTGAGCGCGACCCCATTTGCTTCCGTCGCTCAGCTGGATGCCGTCCCGAGGAAGGGGAGCCTCTCCCGTGCCTGGGGGAAGTCTCCTCGCTGCTGTGGGACAACAAAAAACATACAAGCAATAGACAAAAACAAAACAAACAAAACTTGTGGTTAAAACTACGAATTAATAGTCATATTTCTGAAAATGGAAAATGATGTCATCTACCAAAAAATACTGTAATATTAATAATACTGATCTTAATACGAATGTTAATAATAATAATGATAATAATAGTAGTACGAATAAAAATAATAAAAATAATAATAATAATAATACATACATAATAATAATGATAATAATAATAATAATAATAAATATAATTAATAATAAAAATAATAATAATAATAACGTTACCAATACGAATGATAATACTACGAAGAAAACCGATAACTTATGTTATTGGAACAAAAATATGAATAAGCTTGGTAATCATACTAATAATGCAACTCGAAAATAGTACTTAAAACAACAACAACAACAACAACAACAACAACAACAACAACAACAACAACAACAAAAACAACAATAGTCATAATAATAATAGCAATGATAAGAAAATAATGATAATACGAATAATCATAATAATAAAAATAAGGGGAGTAGGAATAATAATCCGAATGCTAATAATACTGGTAATGCTGTAAAATAATAAACAAAAAACCAAAAGAACAAAAAACGATTGGATTTCAAGTCGCCAGCGAGAGGCCCGGGGAGCGGAGCGCGGCCAGGTCCTCCGCGGCTGCGATGCTCTTCGACAAGTCGCCCGCGCCCGTCTTGCAGTCCGCCCGCCCACCAGGCGCGCGCCGGCAGGACCAGCAGCGGCGGCCGAGGCAGAGGGGGGGCGGAGGACGAGTGGAAGCGAGACGGGGCTTGGGGGGACCCGGGCGAGGGACGAAGGGGACGGGAGAGCAGGGGGACGGGGTTTGGGGGGCAGGGGCGGGGGACGGGGACGCGGGGGAGGACGAGGACGAGGGGCGAAAGGGACGGGGAGGACGGGGAGGGCACCAGGAGGACGGGGATTTTGGATTGCGGAACTGGGGCGGCAGCTAGCGACCGAGCGAAGAGAGAAGCGCCAAGAGGCAAGGGGAGGCTGATCAAAATGGGGGGGAGCAGGTGAGACGACCTGCGAAAGGCCGAAAAGGCAGCTGGGGGGGGGCGGGTGCGAGGCAGGGGCCAGCGGGAGAGCACGATTTTCGCACGCTCTACCTGTGGCCAATACCTGCTCCAACGCCGCAGTGGAACTTCGTCCCCGCCAACATACCTAAACCCACCCTCGGTCCCGACCATATAAGCTGAAACGCTGGGGAGGGCAGTGGGAAAGGTGAGACGGCCTGGCGTGCCCGATGCGCGGGCGCGGGCCGGCGCTCGTGGCCGCCCGCCCCGAGAGAGGTTGGCCGTACCTGGTACGGCGCCCGAAACCTCTCGAACTGGGGCGGCAGCTGGAGACCGAACGGAGAGAGAAGCACCGAGATCGCAAGCGAGGCCAAAGAGGCAGCAACAGTATGGTCCTGAGCCATCATGCCGTAGAGCCCCCGGTGTTGCATGCCACCAGAGAGCGAGCAGGCACAGAGAGAGGTGGCTGAGAGAGGCGGCACAGAAGACGACAGCAACTTGCTATTCTGCACCTCCACCTCTACCTCTCCACACAAAACCGAACAACAACCCCCTACCTCTCCTGTTCAATGACAAGCAGCAACTTATCCGAACAAGCCTCTGCCAAAAACTAGGATCGAGGGTCCACGGGGCTACCTCACGCAAGCGAGCCTGTCTCGTTTCCTGCAGTTTAGCAGCTCCTCTGACACGTGCCCGCGCGCGGTTTTGCGCAATGCGCTCCAAGACTTCACGTGCTAGCGGCACAGAGACGGGCGGGAGGGGAGGATCTGTTGCCCTCTGCGAATCACCAAAAAACACGTGCATCTACATACTCCTGCTCCTCATCAACCTCAGGTGGGCCTGTAGGTCTAGCCTCCGCCAGGTCATCGCGAACCTGTGAGGTGGAAGAGGTAGCCTGCTCTGATGTCGGGGGGACGTGTAGCGGTCGAAAGCTATCGAGCTCGGGGTCGTGTCGGCCACAGCGTGTGCGCCGAGAGACAGAGTCAGGAGCCCATCCCTCGTCTGTGCCAGAATAGGGATCCCAGGACACAAGGAAGCGTAGTAGTCCATCACGTACTCTACCATCCTCCCCAATGTCCTCCGGAACAACGCGCTCAATACTGTCCACATCCCCTTCCCACATGGTACGCACCGCATCAGCGGTGGTAGCACCGATACATTTGCACAGGCCAGCGGGATACGTCTTCTTTCTGGTTGTGCACCACTCCCTCCTATCCCTATCATACCCAAGAAGCGTTTCGTGTCCGTCCGTACCGTGCGAACATCTGCCGTTTCCAGGGGTCGTAAGCAGGGCGGCGTGCAGCCCTGGGAGTCGAAGTACAGCGATCCTAGTGGGGCCCTTGACGTCTGACCATGTTCACACTGATCAAAATCGGTCGTCGAGACTGCTGGGGACGACTGGAAACCACGCATCGGATGGCAGGTAAACGAGATGACGGCTCGGAGCCTCCAGCCGCACGGCTGGGAGTGCCGCCGGGACCCTCGTAGAGCTCTAGACACGCAAAGAAGTGCTTAGATTATGCAAAGAAATAAACCTCGAAACTCAGCTTAAAAACTTGGAAAATGTTTTGGGGTTTTCATGCAAAGTCGGTTCCCGAAAGTGTTTCGATAGTGATAGTGCAGCTACAGACCTGACAATTTGACAGGCAGACGCGGCATGACCCACTTCAGGTGCAAAAAAAAAAATATGTTATCGAGACGAACGGTCAAATCTCTCACTATGTTCGCCCAACCGCCCCCAGGTCGTCACATTGTCCGCCCGGGCATATGTGCAGTGAAAAACTCCAGCATAGCATGGTATAGCGCATTGCCCACCCACAGCTGTTCCATCTGACGCTCAGTAATTGCCGTCTTACCCCAAAATTGGTCATGCGTCCGTAGTGGCGGGGGGCCCTGGCCTTCTGCCCATCGAGAGGCAGACCAGGTCTCACACGGCGGCCCGCCACCCGACACCACCACCCGTCGTGCAAGGATGTGAGACCTCCATTCTGCGAGTGTGTCCCGATTCATGAGATCGCCTTCCACTGCATGTATGGCTATATCCACCGACAGGACATATACCGCATAGTCTGTGCTGCAATGCGCCCACTGGGGGAGGGGAAGGGGTGAAGGGGAAGGGGGGGGAGGGGAGGGGGGGGGAGGGGAGGAGGGGGGGGGAGGGGAAGGGGCAGGGGCGGGCAGGAGGAAGGGCGGGGGAAGGTAAGGGGGCGGGGAGGGGCATGGACGGACGGCGTCCCCCAGCGCGGTGGCGGGCGGGGACCCCCGATGCGCGGCATCTGTCGCAGCGAGGGGCCGCGAGCACAGGGGAAGGCGAGCGCGGGCGGCCCTGCATCGACCAGCCAGGCGAGGGCCCGCGGCCCTGCTGCGACCCGGCCGCAGTGCAGCAGGCGGACGAGCGACGAAGCACCCCGACCGCTGCCCTGCCAATGCACGACACATGACGAACGAACGACACACGCCCGTACCCCCCCACACACACACAAGCACACACACACACACACACACACAGCTAAGTATGCCCATAGGGAGGGCTATGGGCGCGTGTTGTCGGATGGGGGCCCCCGCTGGAACGGGAGCCTCTCTTGGGGTCCGGCAACCCGCACCCACGCCCACAGCCAGTGCTCCTACGTTCGACCTCCCTATGCTATGGGTATGGGTGTGTGTTGTTCGCTCGTCAACATCCTCGGCGAGCGAGGGGGGAAGTGAGGAGGAGGAGGCCTTCTCAGAAATGGGCGGGGCTTCTCAGGGGCACTGCGGACTCCGGCCTTCCGAGAAGTGTTCTGCGACTTCGGGGAAGGCCCAGAAAACCTCTCAGAAGGCCAAGAGGATTTCCGAGCCTCCCTAGGAAGCCCGCCCCCTCTCACCTCCCCCCTGGGCTCGCCGCTGGCCCCCCAAAAAAGGCACAGGCACGAGACTCCGGAGGTGTTGGGCGGGAGGGAGCCGCCCAGGGGGGGGGGGGGGAAGGGCGCCCCGAATCCGAGCGCGCACCCGCGAAGGAAGCCGACACCGCCCAGCGCGATGGCAGGGGGGGGGGGGCGGGAGGCAGGGCCGAAGCGGAGCCGGGGATGCGCGGCCCCCTGCCACCCAAGGGTTGACCAGAGAGCAGCGCTTCTCGCGTCGCGGCGCGGCAGGGGCGGTCCGCACGCGCGCGCGGGCAAGCCGGGGACGCGGCAGCGACAAAAGAACAGCACGCGCTCAAGCCTTCGGGGAGGAGGAAAGGGGAAAGGCAAGGAGACGAGAGCGCCAGAGGTACGGGCGCGGGCTGTCGAACCCCGAGGGGGGGGGCTCCCGTTCGAGCGGGGGCCCCCGTCCGACAGCACACGCCCATGGGCCCCCACGGAAGTCCAGCCCTGGACATCTAGGGGTCGCATAGGTATGGGTGTGAGTTGTCGCGTCATGAAAGGTGGACCCGCGGACATCTCGCTCATTCAGACGACCTATTTCAAGGAGACCTTCATCCTTCAAACCTCCACTTCGGAAGGGGCAGACGAAGCTTCCATACCAAACACTACCGAGAGCAAAAACGTCCTGAGACGTCGGACTCTGCAGAACTATCGCGACCCTCCATCAGCGGAGGAGGAGCGGGGAGAAGAAGGGGGAAGAGAGCAAGAAGACGAGGGAAGAGGAGGAAGAGGAGGGGGAAGAGACGAGCACATCGCTCATCTATGCGGCTTCCTTCTTGCAGGCAGTCCGCTGAACCACCACTCGTGATGGGCAAACTGCGCGCTTCCGCACCCGCGTCGGCCTGCAGCGAACAGTCAGATTTTACGGCAATCCATTGACCCAACCTTCAAAATAAAGATGAGAAAGAGGGGAGGAGAGAGGAGGAGCGGGCGGAGGTCCCCAGCCGAAGCCCCACACGCCGCCGGCTATCCGCAGACTCTCTGAGCCTCTCCTGGGCCTGCAGAAGCCTCGCTGGACCGTCCAAGGCTCTCCTCCAGCCCCCCAGGGTTCTCCCTGGGCATCAAAAGACCACCATGCGACGCCGACGTCGACTGCCTACGGTGCGGTCGAGGCAGGTGGGCGATGGCAGAAACAAGCAAGAGAGGACTGAACAGCGGACCAGTCAGGTCGCCTATGGCCACGACAACTCTGAGCAAGCTAAGGGCCCACTTCAAGATCACGGCTGACAATTACGCCCCACGTATTGCGTAGTGCTCGCCAGCAATCTGTTAGCACCCCAACCACATTACTCTGTAACGAGTCTTATATACGGATAAAAAGCAGACATGTGCCGCAAGGCTTCTCGGATAACACATGAACTTATCGAAGAGCTCCTGCAGAGGAGGCAGAAGCTACGCCCCGACTCACACTCCAAAAACACCGTTGAACGGGTACGGCTCGCCAACAACAGCGTCTTCCCCCAGGGGCACGATAATCAAGGTGCGCCTCATGTCCTCTTAATATCCGCCACCGTGCCTCAGGCACTAGGTGGCATACCCTCAGGTCCCTCAGCATTCTCTTCATTGAATGTTGTACATGTTCTTCAAGGGGCCCAGACCCTGAAAACACTGGCGCTCCTGGGCGATATCACGCGCTCTCGTGCACTGCAGGGAATCCCCGCGAATTTGGTTCAGGGGCTTTGCGAGAATCGCCGCGGGCCCAACCTCGAACCTGCCACAAGACGGTCCCGAGGGACAGTCCTGGGAGGATCTTGGAAGCATCTTGGGCCGTGCCCAGGGTTCTTAAAAAATGTCTCTACAAATGTGCTGAAGGGCCATGAAGTTCTAGAGGGTGGATTCACAAAT